GGATGGATGGATGGATGGGTGGGTGAATGGGTGGGTGGATGGATGGACGGACAGACAGACAGATGACAGATGGATGATTTGGGTGGGTGGATGGATGGATGGATGGAGATATACATACATACATATATACATACATACATACATTATTTGGTTGGATGGATGGATGGAGAGATCGTAGATGGGATGGATAGATAGATAATGATAAATAGATGCACAGCAGACAGATGGAAAGATAGACGGAAGGAAAAATTACAGAAGAAATGATGAATTGATAGATAATAGATGTGAGAGATGATGATGATGATGGATGGGTAAGAGAAACAGATCATAGATGAAATAAATGATACATACATATATACAGAGACAGAGGATAGATGGATGGATAGATGGTAAACTAAACAGAATGTAAGCAGGAGATAAATGATGGACACATAAACTGTTAACTAGATATCCACACAGACAGCTCCCAAAAGTACATGTAAACACCTTGCTGTAGATAAAAGATTTTCATTTTACCTTTCAGTCCTATAATTGTGTGTTATTCCGATTTCTGTCCTTGTATGCCAAATACCTGAAATAATCAGGTTATGGAGAGAGAAGGTTTATTTGGCTCACGATTTCAGAAGTTTCAGTGCATGGTTGGTTAGCCCCGTGGTCATAATCCTGGGGTGGTCCATTGTTGGGGGAAGGCATGGTGATGCACAACCTCTTCTTACCTCATGGCCAGGAAGTAGAAGAGAGCAAAAAGAAAAGGCTAGGTCCCACAGTCCCTTTTGAGGCCATGCACTACGCAGTGACCTCACTTCCTGCCACTAGGGCCTCCCGCTTAAAGGTTCCACCCACCTCCCAACAATCCCACTCTGAGAAGCAGCTTTACCGTGTGGGCCCTTGGGATCCAAACTGGTAAATTTGCTCATGATGTGTCTCAGGACACGTCTCAAAAAAAATCTACTTGTGTTTTTCTACACGGTTTTGCTTTGTGCCTATTAAAGATGTTAAACGGTTTCATACTAAAGCTTTTGTTTGCTTTAGTGTTTTTGATTTGCAGTTTTAGGAATTGAAAATTTGGTTTTCTTTTCCAGTAGAGTGAGTGGCTAATAACTTGGTGTTTGTGGAATAAAAAGCGACAATCAGTGGCGTGCTATGAATGGGAAACCTGGGTCATAAAATAGGCAGACAGAACACACATTCTAGGGCGTGGGTTTAGAAGCTCGCCTTCCATCTGGGGCATTTAGTGGAACTAAAAGGTCTTATCCATTTGTGTCCTCAGGGAAATGGCACCTTGGGATAAACTGTGACAACACCACCGACTTTTGCCACCACCCTTTACGCCATGGCTTCGATTACTTCTACGGGATTCCCATGACCAACCTGAGGGACTGCAAACCTGGCGAGGGCACGGTCTTCACCACAGCCTACCGGTTGCTGGTGTTCTTTCCCCTGCAGGTCCTCGGGCTCACTGTGTTCACGCTGGCCGTGCTCCGCTTCCTGAGGCTGATCCGCGTGCCCCTCGGCATCTTTATCTTCCTCTTCCTCCTGATGGCCCTGATCCTCGTCCTTTTCCTATGTTTCCTGCATTACTACCGGCCCCTGAACTGCTTCCTGATGAGGAACTATGAGATCAGCCAGCAGCCCATGTCCTTTGACAACCTCACCCAAAGGCTGACGCTGGAAGCCACTGGGTTCATAAGACGGTGGGTGTCACCCTTTCCCCTCGGGTGTGCTTGGTGAGAATTCTTGCTTATTCGCGAGGGCGGCAGAAGAAGCAATAGCCACACTGTCCCTTCCACACTGAGTAGTTGTCTCTTGCCACACTGCCAGGAAAGGGATGCAGGGAGTGACAGGGACCACGTTTAAAGCAATTGTGAAGCTCCAGGGTTCCAGTTCAAGGGGCTTGGCCCACTCCTCACCCTGAGGCAATGCCGTAAAGAATGTCTGCTAATGACAGGATCCTGTATCACTCTGGTCAGTAATCTTTCAAGACGGCAAACCGCTGAGGAAAACTAATGGCATCCATTGAGTCCAGAAGTTGTCCTTGGAGTATAAATGACATGGAAAGATCCAGGAAATTTTAGGGTAACCTTTAACCCAAAAAGTTCTGTAAGAAAACTGAGTAGAGTGAATTATTTCTTTGGAGTCTATAAGATAACTTTTAATCCATAGTTTTGAGGGTTGGAGTTAGGAAATGAAATGCCCATCAGTGGAGAAATAGACAAAATTGTGAATTATATAGACAGATACCTGTATTATTTTACACAGTGATTAGAGACTGTATTAGTTTTCTGTCACTGTGATAAAATACCTGGAAAAGTCAACGTAGAGGAGCAAAGAGTTACTTTGGCTCATCGTTTCGGAGGCTTTAGTCCGTGGTTGGTTGATTCCGTGGCTGTGGATCTGTGATGGGGCAGAAGCATCATGGGGGAAGGGTGTGGTGGAACAAAGCAGCTCACCTCATGGCAGTCAGGAAGCAGGCAGAGAGGTAGAAAGTCACAGAGGAGGGGATATGGAACAAAGCACACCCTTCAAAACTACGCCCCCAGGGGCCTACTTCATCCAGTCAGCACCCCCCCCTTAATATGCCTGTTCCGCTACCAACTCATTAATGGATCAATCCATTGACAAAGTTAGAGGCCACACCACAGCTTTATTACTTTGCTGAACATTTCCCAAGCCAATCATTGATAATCAAGATGAGGCCAAATAAATATAATTAACTAGGTGGACTATGTATGAACAGTTGCTATTCCAAAGAAGCAAATGGACAAATCTTTTTTATTTTTTCCATTTGTAACTAAGAGGAGAGCACTCTAAGGAGAAATGGAGTTGGAGACTTGAGAGTGTGGCTCAGCATGGGTGAGGCCCTGGGTTCCATCTCCCGCTCCACAAAATGAAAGGGAAATAGAAGTTTTATCTGAAAACTGGACCTTTGATGTTTATAGCAACTTTCCAGAAAATTTAAAAGATAATTTGCATAATATAAAAACGATAAATGACATAGAGCAGTAATGCTGATGAGAAGTACAGTGCATGATGCAGAATTATAAAATCAGGCAGTGAAAGGGAAGTTGTTATGATGGAAGTTTGTGTTAAGAGACAAAAATCCAGAGCGAGAGAGGAGTGTGTGTAGTTCTGAGGCACATTGAGTACCACCAGGCTATGGGCTGGGGATGAAGGTAAAAGGCAGCTTACTCCAGATGTGATGTTGGGGGTAAGTAGGTCACAGGGGGCCTTACCCCCAAAAGGGATTCATCTTTCAGAAACACCTGGATGTCTCTGTGTTATTCTACACCTCCAAGAACCTCTCATAAAAATACAGTGTAGAAATTAACACCCATTGCACAAAGACAAGTTCTGAGACGACTCTCACGGTACCGTGTTATATTTTGACGGAAGTGATTTAATCGTATGATTATCTATATTACTGCAAGGCCCTTTACCAGGTTCCTCAGAATGACTTTGGGAAAGCACCCAAAGTCTACCTTATTATCTTATTGTTTCAGGATATTATAGCTTGACCTATAGCTAGTACTGTGATTATATAGAGGATTTTATAATTTTCTTCTAGAACTAGAGATTTAAGATATTACCGCCACACCATATTTGGAGGCCATGGCTACTGAGTTATAATGAAAGAGTTATGTTTCTTTTCTCCACAAAGTAGATGATTCTAAGTGTAAAGAGCAATGATCCATATTGGAGCAACCCATAGTCAGTATCAGTGAAACTACTAGCATTTGTAGACCCTCATGCCATTCGTAAAAAGCTTCTTAGATATACTGCCTGAAAATACTAAGATGACAGATAAGGGAGAAGCCATCCTTAGATAAAATTGTCTTCCCATGTTGAGTTATCCAGTTGATCGAATATAGTACCCAAGTGTCCCAGATTACCTTCACGGGATGCCCAAGAATCATAACAATGGTGACCCCACCTTGTTCATGAAACATTTTTTCAAGGACCTAAGGATATATTTGTATGTGTTGTCTCCTTAGTCAGAATATCCCGAATAATTTAGGCAGGATTTGCCATCCTTTGTGAGAAATGGAGGTGGAGTTGGTCAGTAGCTGAAAATAAAAAAGTCCAGTCAAAGCAAGGTCAATATCAGTGTCTCATTGATGAGGCAAAATACCTGACAAGTTCAAGGAGGAAAGGCTGATTTTGTGGAGGTTTCAGTCTGTGGTTGGCCACCTCCGAGGCAGGGCAGCATGGCAGAGGAGAAGGAGGTCCTGAAGGAGGTGTAGCTGGCGGGCAGGAAGCAGCAGCGATGAAAGGAAGAGCAAGCACATTCACAAGCTTTTCCAGACCACAGCCACAGTAACCCCACTCTTCCTACCAGGCTTCCCTTCCCAACATCACCCTCAGCTGCAACTCCTTGGTAGACGGATCCAGTATCATCACCCCTGTGATCCAGCCCCTCCCAGAAGCCCCACCTGGGAGTGTATGAAGCTTTGAGGGGCACATCTAAATATAAGCCACAACAATTAGCAAAACTAACCCAAAAGCTTTGCATTCTAAACTGCCCACTTGACACAGGCATCTTATTTATGTGTATTACTATTGAAGGAGTGTTTTTGGTGCATGTGTCAGAGGCAGTAAGGAAAGTGATTTAAGTTCTTGTTTATAAAATTTACAGTCTTTCCCTACAGCGTGTTGCTGGTATGATTTATTCTCGAGACTTTCTTCCTGAGATGCTTGTTGGAGATGTTACGATATGAACGACGGGGGGCATAAGGCAAAAGTGTTTCATTGGTTTGTAATTCTCGCAAATGAGATCCATTTAGTCAACTCTGGTTTGGGCCTGGGATTACAAATGCACATTTCCAAGTGGAGGAAAACGATGCCTCCGCGGTAAATGTAACCGTGCACTCACTCAATCTCTTTAGCTCCTTCAGGGATAAATTTATGTTGGGAAGATGCTTCTATTATTAGAGACCTGGGTAATTAGCTCACCATATGTTATCTTCTGTGTGGTAATTGAGGAGACAGGTCATCCTTAATGCACTTTAATTAGTAAGAAACCCATGTTACTTTTACAGGGAGGAATAAACTACAAATTTCTTAGAGATTTCTTAGCCTGCTTCCTCATGTGCTCTGAATATGTCTTTTCATCATAGCTTTGGTCTTTTGATCCCTGTTTTTCAAAGCAACACGGAACAGATCCAACTTAAGATATTGGCATGGCAAATGATCTTGGCATGGCACATGTTTGAGTGGAGTGGATACTGACGGAGTGGTCCCCAGCCAGGCATGAGGCACAGTGCTGTGGACATGTTTGCTGGCCACCTTCACAGCCAGTCGGTGTCGTACTCCGTAACCACCTTCCAAGACTGGTACATGGGCATCAAATAGTGGTGAAACTCTGAGCTCAACACCTTTCTGTCATTATTCAGAGCCTTCTCCGAGTGGAAAGCCCTACATCCTGTGCTTCTGCCCAGCCACCAAAAGAGACACGTTTTTCAAAATTGTGTTAACAAACCGGACCTGCTTTGCCCATCTCGCAGTATGAAAATCAGTGAAACGCTGAGTTTTGCAAAAGAGAAAAAGTTTGTGCATGAGGCAGACTGGAGAGCAAGGCTCCCATTCACCTCCCTGGGGATAAGGGTTAAGATATTTATGATGAGAAGAAGCAGGGTGGTCTGAGGTGTAGGAGGAGAGATCAGAACAAGGAAAAACGGAGCGGTTGGTGGACTATGTGTGTTTAGTCCAACTTTATGGATCCTCATAGGGGAATGTTGGAAAGTGATCGTGTCTGCATGCTCTGAGACCGTAGTTTCCAGCCTCTAGAGTCAAAAGGGACAAACGTGTCCTCCAAGTTTCTAAAAAGCAGCTGAGACTCCTGTTACCATCGTGATCCGCTTGCTAGAAGTGTTCTTTGAAACAAACCTAGGGAAAGTCTAACAGTATATTACTTGGCTATATAACTGATTAGAACAAGTGACTTTTAAAAGTCAACTAGAAGCAAGTAACTAAAAACAAATGAACTGGGTTGAGTCTAGAGGAATTATTCAGATTTCTACTTTGATTCAATCCTTACGTGGGTTGTGCATCCCTGCTCTGAATATTTAAAATCTGAAACATTTCCAAATGTGCAATTTGGGGAGCACTGACATAAATGCCCAGTTGGAAAATTCCACACCATGAAACTTAGTTTTATGCAAAATTATTAAAAATGTTGCATAAGATCACCAGTAATCTATTACTATAACGTGTATATGGAAAGCAAATGAATGCTATGTTTGTTGATTGGTCTCCTCCCAAAAGTAGTTCTTAGCGTATGTGCAGATGTTTCAGAATCTGAAACCTGAAACACTTGTAGTTACAGGGATTTTTTTTTTTTATTGATAAGTGATGTTTAACTGGCACAAGCCATGGTGCTGTTAACATTGTCGTTACCATGGTGACGGAGAAGCCATTGCTACTTCTGAAAGAAAAACAGAACTAGCTTGATGGTTGATGAAGTTTGCAGAATAATTTTATTCACTAAACAATTTGTTTTTTTAGTTCAGGTCAACGCTGAGTTGATAGAAGGTGTCATGCCAGTGGGTAGGACGAGATGCATGTCTGATGTCATCTCACCTAGAGACATGAACCTTGGTTATTTTGCTCTGTGGAAAGCCAGCTGCGTTGGCCCCTCTCCTCTCTATAATTTCATTGAAAACAGCATTTCTGTGTAGGAAAAACATTTACATTTAAA